CCCAGAGAGCGACGGGCATTCCCACGCGGCGCAGGCGCACGAACCTCACGTCCTACAGCCGACAACGCCAGCGCAGGCGCTTTGGCTCACTCTCGAAGGCACCCACTTTAGGACATGCGCAAAAGCCGCGCCACGAGTCCCGCTGCAGTCTTCGCCTATCAGAGCTTAATCCGTCCGGGAAACCGTGCGCATGCGCAGTGGCAATAGGTCAGAGGACCACTCTGGAGGGTCTGGGAGAGTCAGGACATGCAGGGGCGGAGGAAAAGACTGGAGTAGGCGCTTTGGCTCACTCTCGAAGGCACCCACTTTAGGACATGCGCAAAAGCCGCGCCACGAGTCCCGCTGCAGTCTTCGCCTATCAGAGCTTAATCCGTCCGGGAAACCGTGCGCATGCGCAGTGGCAATAGGTCAGAGGACCACTCTGGAGGGTCTGGGAGAGTCAGGACATGCAGGGGCGGAGGAAAAGACTGGAGTGCAGTGATAGGGGCCCCTTGACACCCCCCCAGTGTGACCCCCCCCTACCCCACACAGCTCTTCGGCTCCCCCACTCTCCCCTATCTCACACAGCCCTGGGGCTCCCCCACAGTGACTCCACACAGGGTGACACTACTCCTCTCAACTCTGGGGTTATCCCACTGTGTCCCACACCGATTGTCACACAGTCATAACATAAGAACGGGCATGCTGAGTCAGACTGTTAGAAGAAGCACACAGGATCTTTTTCAAGGGAAAAGATAAATACACTGTGTTTATTGAGAATACAGCAGAGAAGCAGTTAGCATATGCTTTATAAACACACACACACACACACACACATCCTGACTGAGCGAGGAGTTGGGGTTCCTCTGAGACTCCTCCCAGGCTTGGCTTGCAAGACTGAACCCAGAGTCCCAGGACAAGAGCTTCCTTTCTTATACTTGAAAGTTCCCATTAGAGTCTATGGCTGTGTCTACATTGGCAAGCCGCTTTTGCGCAAAATCTTGCCACCTGTCTACTCTGGCCGCGAGTGTTTGCGCAAGAACACTGACGTTCTAATGTAAGAAATCAGTGCTTCTTGCGCAAATACTTTGATGCTCCCGCTCAGGGATAAGCCCTCTTGCGCAAGTATTCTTGCGCAAGAGGCCAGTGTAGATAGGCAACGTTAATTTCTTGCGCAAGAAAGCCTGATGGCTAAAATGGCCATCGGAGCTTTCTTGCGCAAGAGAGCGTCTACACTGGCACGGATGCTTCTGCGCAAAAGCACATATTTTGCGCAAAAGCACATGCCAGTGTAGACGCTCTCTTGCGCAAATACTTGTAACGGAAAAACTCTTCCGTTAAAAGTATTTGCACAAAATCATGCCAGTGTAGACGTAGCCCAAGGGTTTTGCAGTGTCATGCTACAGTCATCCACCCTTCGGCGGTGTTAATCTGTGTTCTTTTGATGGTGATTGTCAGGGTTCCCGTCATTGTCTCTCACTCTTGGGGTGGTGGTGGGGTCTCTGCCTGTCTCCAGGGTTCCTCGATTCAGCCTCATGACACAATGCATGCTTCCTTGTTATCTTCAAAGTTTCCACTTCTTCTTGGTCACCTGGGCATCTGTGATGGCTTTCACTCACACACACCCTCCACTCACATTAAACAACTGTATAGAGTTTCAGACAAGATCAATAGTTACAAGGGGTACAACTTAACAGGGAGCAAGGCCTTGCAGTAATCATTATCTAATCATGAGAAATTAGATTGGAAGAAGCTACAGAACTTGCAAGTCATTACATCAAATCCTTATGCATCATACTTATAATCTTATAACTAATATTAAAATGTACATTTTTGCTACAAGACCAACTGTCCATCTAACCTAGTATTCTATCTGCTGATGGTGACCAATGCTAGGTGCCCTAGAGGGAAGGAACACAACAGGTGATCCTCATGTGATCCTTCTCCTGTCACCCATTTCCAGACAAACAGAGGCTAAGGACACCACTCCTACCCATCCTGGCTAATAGCCATTGATGGACCTAACCTCCATGAATCTACCTAGCTCTTTTTTGAACCCTGTTAAAGACCTAGTCTTCACAACATCCTCTGGCAAGGAGTCCCACAGATTGACTGTGCTCTGTGTGAAGAAAAATTTCCTTTTCTTTGTTTTAAACTGCTACTTATTAATTTCATTTGGTGACCCCCGATTCTTATATTGTGGGAATAAGTAAATAACTTTTCCTTATTTACTCTTTCCACACCAATCATGATTTTATAGACCTCTATCATATACTCCATTAGTCTCTTGTTTTCTAAGATGAAAAGTCCAAGTTTTTTTAATCTCACTTCATATGAGACCCTTTCCAGACCCCTAATCATTTTTGTTGCCCTTTTCTGAACCTTTTCCAATGCCAATATATCTTATTGGAGATGAGGCAACCACATCTGTATGCAGTATTCAAGATGTGGGCTTACCATGGTTTTATATAGAGGGAATAAGATATTCTCTGTCTTATTCCCTATGGGTATGTCTACACTACCCTCCTAGTTCGAACTAGGAGGGTAGTGTAGACATACCCATAGGGAATAAGACAGAGAATATCTTATTCCCTCTATATAAAACCATGGTAAGCCCACATCTTGAATACTGCATACAGATGTGGTTGCCTCATCTCCAATAAGATATATTGGCATTGGAAAAGGTTCAGAAAAGGGCAACAAAAATGATTAGGGGTCTGGAAAGGGTCTCATATGAAGTGAGATTAAAAAAACTTGGACTTTTCATCTTAGAAAACAAGAGACTAATGGAGTATATGATAGAGGTCTATAAAATCATGATTGGTGTGGAAAGAGTAAATAAGGAAAAGTTATTTAAGCTGGATGATTTATGCAAAATTGGGTATCTGTAGGTAATCACAAAGTATGACTTTTTTTGCACAAACAAAACAAACTCTTTAAAATATATAATAGATCGAGAAAGATAATCAGAAGATCTATCTAATCTTCAGATTGTGGGACTGGGAGTCAGGATTTCCCATTTGTTTGTTTTTATAGATACGTCTATACTGCAGGCTTCTTTCAGAAGAAGCTTTTCCAAAAGAAATCTTCCAAAAACACTTCTTCCGACAGAGAGTGTCCACACTGCCAAAGTGCATAGAAAAAGCGATTTGCTTTTTTGAAAGATAGTATCTAGCATTTAAGCTGTGATTACTATGGGCAGAATGGTCACCAGGGCACCTGTGCTTTTTCCTGGAGGCCTCTTCTTTTGAAAAAGCTTTCTCTTCCATGTCCATACACACCTTTTTCCAAAAGAGCTCTTTTGGAAAAGTGTCCTTCCTTGTAGAGATAGAAGTGCTACATTGTCCTGCATTTTGCTTCAGCTACCCCAGACTAACACTTCTATCTCTACAAGGAAGGACACTTTTCCAAAAGAGCTCTTTTGGAAAAGTGTCCTTCCTTGTAGAGATAGAAGTGCTACATTGTCCTGCATTTTGCTTCAGCTACCCCAGACTAACACTTCTATCTCTACAAGGAAGGACACTTTTCCAAAAGAGCTCTTTTGGAAAAGTGTCCTTCCTTGTAGAGATAGAAGTGCTACATTGTCCTGCATTTTGCTTCAGCTTCCTTGTAGAATGAGTTTTACCAATGTTGGAAAAACTCCTGCGTTCTTTTGATTTTCTTTCGAAAGAACGCAATAACAGTGGGGACGTAAGTCAAGGTTTTTCAGAAAAAAACCCCTCTGCAGTCTAGATGCACCCATATTAGTTTACAGGCACTGGGGCTACGTCTACACTACGGAGTTTTTTTTCCAGGATCCTGGAAAAACTCTGCAACGTCCAGGGAACGCATCTGCTCTTCTGAAATTTTTTTTTGGAAGAGCAGCCCTGTAAACCTCATTTCACGAGGAAGAAGGGCTCTTTCAAAAGAGGAGGTTTTTCCAAAATTTGGCCCAATTTAGATGGGCCAAATTTGGGAAAAGCCTCTTCCAAAAAAAAAATCAGAAAAAGATACGCAAGTTGCGCTCTGCAATTTGCGTACCTTTTTCCAAAAAAGAAGTGTAGTATAGACAGAGCTTGGATGGGGAGTAGAGTTAGGGATTAGAGCAGGATTTTGGTCTTGGGTTCTAGCGTAGGCTTTGAAAGGGGAGTGGAGTCTAGAGGTCTGAGCAATGGGGATCAGCTCTCAGGGATCTGAGACATAAGAGTCCAGATATTGGTTGGGAGTCTGTGCAGTACATGGTGCAATGGGGCTAGTCAAGTATCGGTGCAGTGCTCTGCACAGTGGGATCCAGATCTTCATCTGGAGTCTTTGCAGCACCTGGCAAAAGGGGGCCAAGAAATCAGTCAGCAGTGGTGCTGGAACAGCTTTTGGAGTGGGGGTGCTGAGCTGTTCCCCTCACTCCTGCCTGCACCTCTCACCACTTCCTGGAGCTGGGTCTGGCAGCCATGCCCCCATGCTGGTGGCCTGGACCTGCCATACAGAGCTGGTGGCCAGGATCCTAGGGCTCCTGTGGAGCTCCCAGGCTGGCAGCTGAGTGGAACCCCAGGCTGGCAATGGAGTCCAGGTTGTAGAGCTGACAGACAGATGAAACTCCAGGCCAGCAGTGGAGCCCCTGGGCAGCAGTGGGGCTGGCGGCTGGGACCCTGCCAATGGCCATGACCTGGGGGCTGAGCAGGACCTCAGGCTGGCAGATTAGTCCCTGGGCAGCATAGGACCTGGTGACTGAGGCAGTGGACAGCATAGGTGTGGGGCTGGGACAGGGGACAGCATAGGTGCGGGGCTGGGACTCCGGGCACAAAGCCTGGGGTTGCTGCAGCACACCTGCACTCTACTTCCTGCACATATGTCAGTCAGCAGTTTGTGCAGTTCCCAACACAAGGGGCTCAGAATTCAGTTAGGTGTCTTTGCAGTGCCTGGTACAACTGGTCCAGATGTCAGTCAGGAGACTGTGGAATGCCTTGTATAATTGGACCCAATCAGTCAGGAGCCCTCAGGCCCTACAGTCATTGCAAATAATAACAGTGCTCTAGAGCGTGTAGGTAGTGATGGCCCCTTGTTTCTCCCTCAACTTGTTCCCTGTGGGCACGGGAGTCAGAGCCAGCGGCCGCAGGGTCTGACTGCTTTCCACGAGGCGTACAGCTAGTTCGGATAGGAAGCCTAATCCAAACTAGCTAGTCCGTGCCGCGTGTAGCTGCGCGGCACGGGGTCCAACCTAGCCGGCATTTAAAAATGGCGCCGGCCGGCTTTATGCAAATGAAGCCCGGGAAATTCAAATCATTTGCAACTCCGTATGACTACATTACCCCCTCCAGTTCGAACTAGGGGGGTAGTGTAGACATACCCCTGGGGACCACACAAACGGGCTGGGGACCAGCAGGCCTGGAGCGGATCTGGCCAGGGGTTTGGACTGTGCCCCAAGGCAGGGAATTGGGGTGCAGGGTCTGGAAGGAGGGTTATGTGGGTGCAGATATTGGAGTGGGAGTGGCTGGGGGGCCGGACACTTACCTAAAAGCATTGCTTGCCCATTTCTCCCACAGGAGCTACCTGACCATGTGCTCGGGGATTAAAAGCCTGAGGGGAGCGGTGATTGGTGGGTTCCCGCAGCTGCCATTGTCCAGCAGGGGGGCAGCCATGAGGGACCCTCCCCTGCCGGCTCGCAGCTCCTGCACCACAAAGGGCCCCGCCACGCTATTCTGTTCTGTTCTGCGTGGGGGTGGGGCTGTTGCTGCCTCGCAGCCAGACCCGACCAGCACGGGGTTTGCTCCGGCTGCTGCAGCGCCTGCGTGGGCTGCCTGCTGCGGTGGGGGTGGGGCTCGAGCGTCCAAAGCGCCACGTCGGGCTCCCTCGCGGGCCCCAGGCTGCCGACCCTGTTCTAAGCAGGGCGGAGGAGTGGTTTAAAACACCGGCGCTAGCGCGAACGCAAGCTGGATTCAGCTAGCACAGGCTCCTGGAGACATCTGGAAGGAGCTCCCTGCGAGCCACAGGGGAGACCTGAGTGAGACCAGACCCAGGCCACATCCTGCACGTCCAGAATGCCCAGGACCTGGGCTCTGTGTGGGGATGGCAGAAGCGGAGGCAGCCTTTGCATCAGGACTATGAGCTGCAAAAAAGCCAGCTGAACCCAGCCCTAGCCCCCAAACTATAGTGTGCTGGGCCAGCGAGTGAGTGAGCCTGGATCGTTTGCAGGAAGCATAGAATGGCTCCTGGGTAGGGGGTCCTCCTAGCTTTGTGGCGAGAGCCAGTGTGGGGCTAGGTTTTCCTCTAACTCCTTCCATTACCCCTGCTCCATGACCAGCAGCAGAGATGGGGACCCCACATGTGGACAGGTCTCCGGGTGGGCTAATGCCCGCTCACAGGATGGCTGGCCTGTTAAGAGGACAGAGGAGTTGAGCCCAACCTCACCAGTTACCCATTAGTTACTCCCGGGGAAGAAAGATTACCTGATTCTAAAAGCCAGTGTCATTATTATTAGTCCCAGCCTGGACGAGGGAAAGGGATGTGCAGCAGGGTAAGGGGTAGATGGGAACTGTAGTTACCTGCTTAGGAGGTTCATTATACAAGCAAGTGGTTGTTGGGAAGGGGAGCATTGGGAAACTGATGACCTGCTGGGGCTGCCATCTGTCCCTGCTCAGCTTATGGGCATGTCTGTGCTACTAAAAAAGGTTTGATCTTCTTCACCTGAGTTAAAATAGCAGGGAAGATGCGGCAACTTGGTTTTTAACTTGCACTGTTAACCCGATTCATATATTACAAGGCCAGAGGGGCCTTTGATGTTTTGCTCAGACCCCCTGTATAACAGAGGACTTCCCGGCAATCATTCCTGACTGCGCTATAGCCATTTTTTCAGGAAAAGATCCCTTCTTGTTTTAACAATTGCCTGTGATGCAGAATCCATTGCAATCCTTGGTTCTCATAAGTGTCACATCTTCACAGCTATTGTAACATGGGCTAGCTAACTGAATTAGCAACTCGCCTCTTGATGCAGAGTAGACACACTGGCTGTGTCTACACTGGGCCACTTATTCCGAAAATCACCCGCTTTTCCATAATAAGCTGCGAGCTGTCTACACTGGACCTTGAATTTCCGGAAAAGCAACAATGCTCTCCTGTACAAAATCAGCCGCTATTCCGGAAAAACTATTCTGCTCCTGCTCGGGCATAAGTCCTTATTCCGGAACACTGTTCCGGAAAAGGGCCAGTGTAGACAGCCCAGTAGTCTTTTCCGGAAAAAAGCCCTGATTGCGAAAATGGCGATCGGGGCTCTTTTCCGGAAAAGCGCGTCTACATTGGCCACAAATGCTTTTCCGGAAAGGCCCTTTTTCCGGAAAATCCTTTTCCGGAAAAACTGAAAACGGAATAGTATTCCGTTTTAAGCATTTCCGGAAATTCATGCCAGTGTAGACACAGCCACTCTGTAAGCTACAGCAGGGACGACAGCCTTCCCTGGCCCATGGGCAAGGTGTGGGGGAGGGCGGCTCCACGCTCCCAGAATGGGCAGTGCATTGGATGGAAGGTCTGGGGCTGGGGGCATCCAGCCTTCATCACTTCCCAGAATGCACTGCGCTTCCTCCTCCCCTCCCCCCAGCCTCCAGGCAGCTCTCAGAGCCACCATGGCGGCACTCTGGTGGGAGCCCATGACTCTGGCCACTGCCGCTACTTGTTGAATAGCTGGGCCTTGAGGCAACTGCCCCTTCCCCCCGTCAACAGGCCTGATAAGCTACGGAGCTTAAAAATGCCAGCAGAGGCAAGTTCCTGCACCACACCAGAACTCCCACTTCTGCCACCATTAGTGAGGCTGCACCAGTGGGAGAAACCAGGGGGAGACCCAGGGAAAGCTCCACAGGGAGGAAAAGTCCAAAGGCAGTTGGAAATCAGCCTCCTGCTGCCTCATCACCAATGAAGAGCAGGAAGAAGCCTTGGTCTCCTAATACAAGGGGAAAAGCATTCCCACGTGTTCGGCTTTCCCATGATGAGGCAGCTGACGGCTCATGGGACACACCATGCAGCAGTGCCACAGTGTACCTAGACATTCGGTGAGACAGTAGGCTTTTGGGAGCAGGCAGGGATAGTGAAATGCTGCCCCCTCTGGGATTTGGGGGGTGGAGCAATGATGGTCAGATGCCTTGGGTCTGTTCTTGGAGGATTCAGGACAGAGTCACCTGGTTATTCCCTGCCTCTGTAAGAGGAATCTGTGCCCATGGTAGCTGGGTGTTAGCTCCCTACCACCAATTGCCGGTTAGCAGCCAAGCACTCGTCTCTAAGCCCTGCCAGCTCTGTCTTTGCCCTGCAGGTTAGTAATAGGTGCACCTCAATCCCTGAAACTTCTGAAGCTTTTCCCTGCAATATCCAGCCCCTGACACTGGCTGCTCACAGAAACCCTCTGCTCCCGAAGCAATAGCCTACCCCAATTTAATCTTAAATCACCCCTCCTACATAACAGTACCTGTAAGCACTGGCGGCACAACGAAAGAAAGTTTATTTCAGAAGAAATAATGATTCAGTTAGAAACAAGAGGAAATAACGGGTTACAAAGCCAAACAAAAATAATAAAGAGAGAACTAGAGACTATGATTAACAATTCCCTTGCCTAGCTAATGAAGTAAGTTTCCTCCTTAGAGTTCAGCCTACTGCAGAGCTGGATGGCTTCACAGGAACCTGGATACAAACTTTCATGAACAGAGCCCTTCTCCACCATGTGAATCCTTAGGGAAGGGATCCAGAGGTCATCTTCTCATGCTGTGTTATACTGTCACTAAGCCATGGGCTTAATGCTGCCACCCCAACTTTGGGGCAGTCTCTTGGAGGAAACCCTTTGATGTGTCAAGAGGTCTCACTCTTCCTTCAGGGCTGGCCACATGGACTCGCCACTTCCAGAGAGTGGTCATCTGGGGCTTCAGCCATCCTGCCTCACACTGTGAACTCTGTCCAGTGAGCCCAACTGAGATAGACTCCTAGCAGGACTTATCTACTCTTCAAGTACTTATCCACTCACACAGTGTTTTCAAAACAACTGGATTTATTAGTCAACTGCGGCATAACATAGGAAGTCTTAGGGTGTGCCCACACTGCTGGGTTTAACTTGAAATAGGCTATGCAAATTGAGCTACATCAATTGCGTATCTTATTATGAAATAGCTTATTTCACAATAGAGCACTCTTCCTCCAACTTCCCTTATTCCTCGTACAATGAGGGTTACAGGAGTCGGAGTAAGAAGTCCTCCAGCTTGGCAGTATTTTGATACTATTTCAAAATAACTCCTTCTGTGTAGATGCGGACTAAGTTATTTTGGAATAGCACTAGTTATTTCGAAATAGTATGGCAGTGTAGATGTACCCTTAGACGAGCAAAGAGAAAGGAAGGTTGAAGTCCATTCATGACAGATTGTTCTCCTAGGTTCATCACATTTACAAAACTATGTTAAATCTTGTACAAAGTACACTTTATGAGGTATCCTTTGAAAACTGATAATCAGCTGAACAGTATTGTCCTGGTAAAATGTGTGTCAATGTTGTATGTAAAGTTATACAATTCTTCTGTAAAACATGCATTCCTGTTATTTACCTGTTATTTGTTTGTAACCAGTTCTGAATTTTATGCCTCATCATGTGAAAGGGCTTAAAATCTATCTTTCTGTAGTTCACAAACTTGCTTTTACCTAAACCATTGTGTGTTTGAATCAAAGTGTTTGGGAATCGCCATTGGAATAATGGGATTTGTGCATATCATTTTCGATTAATGAAATGGCAGATTTCAATGAGCTTGTATTGCCCAGGAGGGTGGGCATTATAAGATACACCTTTGTGGGGATGTCTGAGATTAAGAATTTGCTGGTGTCACCCTGCAATGTAATTCTTATCTATAGCACTCCTATAACTCAGTGATGAGTAATTTACATGCTGGAAGCTGGCGGGGAGCAGACTAGGAGTGGCTGCTCTCGCAGTGAAGCTGTGTAAAAGACACCCTGGGTTGGAGAATGAAGGGACTGGATTTTCTACCATTATTGGGCTGGCCCTGGCCTCTCTTTTTTTAAATGGCCCTGGAATGGGTAGCATGTACCCCATGCTGGTCCAGCAACTAAAGGGTTAACATGGGCACTGCCTGTCCTTAATTGGCAGTCTCGTTGTGGCGGGGCAGATATAAGGGCTGAGAGGAGGGTAGTGTGGCTCCTAGAGGACTGAGTACGGCTGGAGGAGGGTACTCTTGCCAGCAAGCTGCTGAACTCAGCCCTTGTTTATACTCATGGGAAGATTGACACTGTAGCGTTTGATCTTTTGGCATTTGATTTAGTGGGTCTAGTAAAGACCCGCTAAATTGAACGCTGAGGCTGCTCCCCATGGACCATGATACTCCTGTCGTGAGACATAAGGGAAATCAATGGGAGTGTTTCTCCTGTTGAACTCCCACCGTGGGAATGGCGGCAAAGTTTGTCTTAAGGTACATCCACCCCAGCTACATTATTTATGTAGCTGGAATTGCATACCTTATGCCAACTTTTCCCTATAGGATAGACCTGGCCTTAGGGACAGCAGTTTAGAAGGAGGCAGCCATCCCAGGAGGCTGAGTAGGCTGCAGAACCTGTGGGAGGTTGGAAGGGAGCTGGGAGCACAGTAATAGATGATGAATCAGGATCCAGCTTACATAGCTTGAGGGCCCAGAGTCAGAACCCACTGGAGGGCATGGGTCTGGGTTCCCCTAACAGACTGACAGCCAGGCTGATTTCAGCTACTGTGCTCTGTCTGGCCACTATTGAACTGACACCACCTCCCTGACCCAGCCAGGCTCAAACAGATCATATCATACCCATGTCTCCTAGGCAGCCCCACCTCCAGCTAATGCAACACACAGGGGAAACTGAGTCACACAGCATACCAATATTAGAGAATCCTGTTTGTTGCATATCAAAACAATCTTTTGCCCATGCATAGAAAAACAACGGATAAGCAATCACCCCGTCTCTTATCTCCATGTTTCCAATTATTTGCAGTAGTCTGGGATAAATTTTCCATTGATAGCCTTGGGATGGAACAAAGAGCCTTGCATTACATCACCAGCTAACGAGGGAGGTGTGACCCTTGCTTGAATGGCCTGTCAAGCAGACTTATTATTCCTGGGGGACTAACTTCTAGAGCATACGTTCCACATAGTTACATTATTTCTTAAATTATGACCTAAATTATTCTTGCAATGGTCAGGAGTCTTGATAAGTCATGAGCTTTCTGTAGCTACTGTCCATGTTAGTTTTCATGGATAAATGCCTGGTAAGGCGTGTGTCTGATGCAGGGAATTTATCAGGTCTGAGACAGGAGTTGATTGCAAAGAACAGGGGACCCTTTACCAAGGGACTTCTCTATCAGTCTTGTAGTTAACCCAGTTAACCACCCCTTTCCCTATAACTAGTATATACACCCACCCCTGCTCCCCAAACAGCATCACTCCAGTGGAATCACAGGGGCTAGGAATCCAGCTGGTATAAACACAGCCTGTAGCTGTGCTGGAGTCAGTAGGGCCAGATCACCAAATAGGGTCAATCAGCCTGATCTCCATTGGTGTCTATGGGCCTGATCCCCAGCTGGTGTAAATGGGTGCAGCCCTACTGGAGTCAATGGAGCGATGTCAGATCGGGATCTGGCACCACAGCCCCTGAGTAAGATCAGCACCATGGGAGCTGCTCAGAGAAGCGCCCGGGCGGCTGACTGAGGAAAACAGAGGCTTGATCTGGCTAATTTAGGGCTGCACCAATGAAGGATGGCGGTGACATATACTGAGGTTGGAACCTGAGTGGAGGACAAGGGAAGCTGACGGGGTTAGATGGCTCAGGCCATGTTATCAGCCTCTGGGGAAGGTGAATGGAGCCCCAATGGCATTGAGCACTATTGGCCAAGGCAAAGGGAAATGTTCTGCAGAGAGTAACCCCGCTCTGATCTCACGGCAATGAGTTTGGCGGTCTAGTGGGTCCTTTGCTCAGCCTCCGCAGTTACCCCTAGTTAGTATTATTTATGACATGTGATATTGCCTCCCTTAGGAGCCCCTGCCCATGACTTTGCTGGCGAGGCACTGTACACACAGAACCAAGAGATGACCTTACAGCCCCTCCTTGGGGTTGCACCCTGTGGCTGTGGCATCTTGTGGATGGACTCACTGGGAGCTGTGGATGGATTCATTGGGCCCCTGTGCATCACAGTGGTAGGAGCTGTGTGGGAGCAGTGCCGCGCCAAGCTGGGTGCAGCAGCAGGAGCCGTGCTAGTATGAGCTGCGTAAGCTGGTAGCTGCCAGTCGGAGCCAGGGGAAACTGGGAGGAGTCAGGGCTCTCAGACACGTATTTCTGAGAGCTGGAACCTGGCCCACATCTACTTCAGTCTTGTCTTGTATCTGACAACGGGGCAGGTACTTGCCCCTCCTGTGGAATCATTCACCCCCCGGTGATGCCCCGCTGTGAGGAGGGCAGATCTGTGCTGTCAGCCCCTGATGAGTGTGAGCTGATGCCCACAGAAATGCTGGAGGGTGGCGCTGGCCCCGGGATGGCTGCAGGCCGCAGGAGGTGGCGCTGGCCCTGGGATGGGTGCAAGGCACTGGAGTATCCTTGGCAGGAACATGGACGTGGCTAGGAGAGCAGGCAGCTCCTCTTGGGTTTCTGTTTGCTCTGGCTCTTCCGCATGGCACTCAAGGCAGCACGGGAGGCCTCCAGGAAGATGTCAGTAATGTTCTCCTGGAACTTGGCTGAGCACTCGAGGTAGGCGACGGCGTGAACATCCTGGGCCATGGCTTCTGCCTGCAACGGAGGGGAGTGTGAGAGGGCATAGGAGTGAGCAGGGGGTGGGGTCACTGCTGACGGCATGGCCTGACCACTGTACCATATGGGGACTCCAGGATCCATTCCCATTGGGCCTCACTTCCCCTGCCATCATCCCTGGGCTTCCCTGTGCCTTTGGCAGGGTCCAGAACATGCCCCGCTTCAATTGTCTGAATTGTCATCTTGCCATGTCCTCATCCCACAACAGAGTCTGGGAGCTTGGCTGGGCCCTGGCCCATTATCTCTGGGAGGGACTATTTTTCCTTCCTCCATCAGATGAGGCTGAGGATTCAGGAGGACCTGGCCTGGGGGCGGGGGCTGTGTCACCTTGAGGTAGGTGATGGGCTCCAGCCGGTCTTCATGAAGTCTCCTCAGCAGCACCTTGTCCATCCTCAGGTCGGTCTTGCAGCCCACCAGCACGATGGGGACGCCCCTGCAGAAGTGATTCACCTCTGGGTACCACTGTGCAGGGAGAGAGGAGACGGTGGAGTGCTGAGCCATGGGAGAGGAGACCCGCACATGTCCTCAGGGGCATTGAAGGAAGATGTGAGCCCCATGCTCATCCCCATTAAATCAGAGGGTGGGACATATCCCTAAGGAACACAGTAGAGGCCAGCAGACCAGAGCTAGAATCACAGCAGGGAGTGAGGTGGGGGAGCTGGATGTGGGGGAGCTTCTGGTAACTCCAGCCCCAGCCTCTCTCAGCAGGGGGCGCTGCAGGAAGCAGGGTGGGGTGCTGCTTGCCAGGGGAATGCCTGGCTCTTCCTGTGTCTCCCAGCAGGGGGCACTTCAGGGAACGGTGTGGGGGTGCAGGCTGTGGGGCAGCTCCTGACTACTCCAGTCACAGCTTCTCCCAGCAGGGGGCGCTGCCGGGAGCAGGGCAGGAGCTCCTGGCCTCTCCCATTTGATGCAAGGGCAGTTTTTCTTACCTTAGTGAGAATGTTGTCGAAGGTGGCGGGGCTGGTGACATCAAAGCACATGAGAATCACGTGCGCGCCTGGGTAGGAGAGGGGGCGGAGCCTGTCGTAATCTTCCTGCCCTGTGCGGGGGAGATGGAGGTCACAAAGTGCCCTTTGCCTTCACGTGCAGGGTCCCTAACGCCTCCTTCCTCTGGATGAGAGAGAGGATCCAGCCCCTTAGGGACACCGGTGCACTCACGCATACACACGCACATGGACACGCACTAACACATTCTGATACATATGCACATGCATTCTCTTGTGCGCTCACATATACACGGATGCAGGCACATGTGTATAAACACACACGTACACACACTCCATCACGTGCATGAACTCACACAAACATACATTCTCTGCCACTCTTAACAGGCCCGGGCCCTGCCCTGGAGAGACCAGCCCAAGAGCTGGCCAAATTCCAGGAACCAAGGTCCATAGATACTTCGGAGTGCCGGGGGAATCCCATCCTGACTCTTTTCTCTTCAACCTGCCTGGCATTGTTCTTGCTGGGCTGGGTTCAAAGCCTGTCTCTGCCAGCCTTCCTAGGTAACCTGGGGGCATGTCCCTTATCTGCATGGTGCCTCAGTTTCCCCATCTGTACAATAGGGATCGTTGCTCTGCCCTACTTAGCAAGGGTTTTATGAGGATGAATATGTTCAAGATTGTGAGGAGAGCTGATACTTCAGAGATAGGAGCCAGATAAGTATCTCAGGGTATGTCTACACTACCACCCTAGTTCGAACTAGGGTGGTTAATGTAGTCATACGAACTTGCAAATGAAGCCCGGGATTTGAATTTCCCGGGCTTCATTTGCATGTTGCCGGGTGCCGCCATTTTTAAATGCCCGCTAGTTCGGACTCCGTGCCCGTGGCTACATGCGGCACGGACTAGGTAGTTCGGATTAGGAAGCACGTTCCACGAAGCGTACAGGTAGTTCGGAATAGGAAGCCTAATCCGAACTACCTAGTCCGTGCTGCGTGTAGCCGCGGGCACGGAGTCCGAACTAGCGGGCATTTAAAAATGGCGGCACCCGGCAACATGCAAATGAAGCCCGGGAAATTCAAATCCCGGGCTTCATTTGCAAGTTCGTATGACTACATTAACCACCCTAGTTCGAACTAGGGTGGTAGTGTAGACATACCCTCAGCTAGATAGCTGTACGTGCACCCAGAGTTCTCTGCTCCCCTAGGCTATGGCAACATTGCACTGTAGCTCGAAATATGATATGCAATTTGAGCTGCGCAAACTGTGTATTTTATTTTGATCTTATTTTGAAATTGCTTATTTTGTACTTTGATATTTTCTACACAGAGCCAAGTTTTTGAAATAACCCGCTATTCTGAAGTGTTCCTTGCTCCTTGTGGAATGAGGTTGAGAAGGACATCGGAATAGCGAGCCTGTTATATTTCAAAATAACGGGCTTGCTGTGAAGACGTGGGATAGCTATTCCGGGATACTCCGGTATCCTGAAAAAGTGCTGCAGTGCAGACATAGCCTTATTCACCCAGGTCTGGATTCTCATCCCTCCACACACCCCTTTGCTGAATGGCAGCCCCACTTTTGCAATGTAGCGACGGAGACTCAAATGATTTTATCACAACAGCTGGTATTTCTCTGACTTTATTTAAATAGCTCCTGAAGTCATTTGGTTAGGAGTGACTCTCAGCTGCTATTTAAGTAAAGAGGCAGTGTCTAGTCTGAGAAGGCAATAGCTCAGAAAACAAAAACCAAAGAAAAAGAGCTCCCAGTTTATTTTGATTTTGAAGCTGATCTTGTCACTTTCTGAAGCCTGGCTCCTGCTGTTGGAAGGGTTGGGGAAGTAGCGGGTCTGGGCTGGGTCACTTTAAGCTTGGGGGGCAGGGGACAGAGCTTGGGGTGTCAACAGTAGAACCCAGACAGAACTTTGATCCCAGGGCACTGATGTGGGCCTGTGGGAAAAGAGCCCTTATCTTTCCAGGAAAAAGTGTCAAGAAAATGACGGTTAAAAATCCTTTTTTCTTTAAATGAGGAAAATCTTTTTTTTCTAAATGAAGCAAATTGTGAAAAATGCTGTTGCTTTCTTTCAAAACCCACAAAAATTAGCTTGTTTGAAAGTGTCTCTTTTTCTACCCCAAATGTGTATGCTAATAAAATTATTGCTGATTTGCATAATAGACCACACCCCAACAAAGATTTGCATAGCTAACCATGCCCCTCATCCTTTCAGCAGTAGCTCTCAACCTTTCCAGACTACTGAACCCATTTCAGAAATCCACTGGTCTTGCGTGCCCCCCAAAACTACTTCACTTAAAAACTGCTTGCTTACACAATTAGACATCAAAACATAAAAGTGTCACAGCATCTGTGATGCTGGAACTATTTTTTAGGGGGGGATGCTGAGCTGTACCTCCCCCACGTTAGACCTGTTGAAATTGGGTTGTCAACTCTCCGGGACCAGATGGACTAGACTTCATTGCATCAAATGGAGTCCCGTCTGTCCAGTCCGGGAGAATTGGCAACCTCCACTGCCCAGGCTGGGGCCATACTGGGGACAGCTGCCGAGCCCTGGGTTAGCGGTGGGACTGATGGTCTGGTGGGGCATAGAACTTGTGGCAGGTCCAGTGGGCAGCAGGATGCTGAGGGCCGGTAGAGCCCTTGGGGCTGGCAGTGATGGGACCCTGAGGTCTAACGGAGACCCTGGAGGGCCAGCGAAGCCTGCAGTGGCAGGATTCTCAGGGGACGTAGGGAGCAGCAAAGCACATGGGGCCAGAAGGACCCTTCAGGGGCTGTGCAGAGGCCAGAACTCAGGACTGGAGGAGCTGGCAGTGTGGTTGGCCCCCAGGTGTGGGGAAGCTGGGTCCAAAACCTGGGGGTGCTGCAGCTTCCCTCGTCCCCATACTTCCCGCGCCCATGCACAGCATGCTAGAACTTTGAAACAGCTCACTTCCTCATTTTTGCCATATAATTATAAAATAAATCCATTGGAATATAAATATTGCACTTACATTTCAGTGTGTAGCACGAAGAGCAGTACAAACAAGTCACCGTATGAAAGTTTAGTTTGTACTTACTTGGCTGGTATTTTTCTGTTGCCAAATGTCATGCTGTAGATAAGCATCCCTACTTTCACAAGAAGCCAAAAATCAAGCTAATCCCTAAAACGGGGGTGGGGAACCTTTTCTGGGTTAGGACCACTGACCCATAGAAAAATCAGTCAGGGGTTGCACAAAAGTGAGAAACAAAAACCCAACAAACAAACAAACAAACAAACAAACCCACCCCTCACTAATATGGGCTCCTTAATGTTGGGGGGAGCCCCAAGCTTCACAGGCTGGATCCAGGCAAGCTGGGGGCTACATCCGGCCCCCACGTCTTAGGTTTCCCACCCCTGCACTAAAAGAACCCCAGCTCTCTGTTTCTAGATTTCCTGGTGTGAAGTCTGGGACTCTGATAGACTCGCCTGAAATGAGCCATATTTCTGCGGTTTTAAATGATTTTGTCTCTTGCTTCCCCTCCCCATTTCTGGACTGAAATACACAAGTCAATTTTTCACACAGGATGTTGGCTCCCTCTACTGTTCACATTGGGTTTAGGAGGCTCATACACCCCATCCTCTCCCTGTACATACCTGCTGTGTCCCACAGATTGATTTGCACTGGCTTGTCACCAACCTGGAAGGAGGCAGAGTACTTCTCAAACACGGTGGGGACGTAGATCTGGGAGGAGAAAGCAGGGGAGTCTAAGGCAAACAGGCTGAAGTTTAATAAGGACAAATGCAAAGTACTCCACTTAGGAAGGAACAATTTGTTTCACACATACAAAATGGGAAGTGACTGTCTAGGAAGAAGTACTGCAGAAAGGGATCTAGGGGTCATAGTGCACCACAAACTAGATATGAGTCAGCAGTGTGACACTTGCAAAAAAAAAGCAAACATGATTCTGGGATGCATTAACAGGAGTGTTGTGAGCAAGATACGAGAAGTCATTCTTCCGCCCTAGTCTGTACTGATTAGGCCTCAGTTGGAGTATTGTGTCCAGTTCTGGGCGCTACATTTCAAGAAAGATGTGGAGAAATTGGAGAAGATCCAGAGAAGAGCAACAAAAATGATTAAAGGTCTAGAAAACATGAGCAAAGTTAAAGAAATTGGGCTTATTTAGTTTGGAAGAGAGAAGACTGAGGGTATGTCTACACTTCATTCCTCCTTCGAGGGAGGAATGCAAATGTAGACATGCAAAATTGCAAATGAAGTGGGGATTTAAATATCCCGTGCTTCATTTGCATAATTACGGACTGGCACTATTGTGAAATAGTGCTATTGCGAGAAAAAAAACGGGGTTATTTCAAGAGAAAATCCTTCCCTCGAAATAACTCTTGCTCCTCAAATAATGAGGTTTAAGGGTTATTTCGAGGGAAGGGTTTTCTCTCGAGATAACCCCGTTTTTTCTCTCGCAATAGTGCTATTTCTCAATAGCGCCAGTCTGCGATTATGCAAATGAAGAGTGGGATATTTAAATCCCCGCTTCATTTGCAATTTCGGATGTCTACATTTGCATTTCTCCCTCGAAGGAGGACTGAAGTGTAGACATACAGTGAGAGGGGTCATGATAGCGGTTTTCAAGTACCTACAAGGGTGTCACAGGGATGAGGGGGAAAATTGTGCTCCTTGGCCTCTGAGGATAGGACAAGAAGCAATGGGTTTAAATTGCAGCAAGGGAGGTTTAGGTTGGACATTAGTAAAAACTTCCTAACTGTCAGGGTGGTTAAACACTGGAATAAATTGCCTAGGGGGGTTGTGCAATCTCCATCCCTGGAGATATTTAAGAGAAGGTTAGACAGACATCTATCAGGGATGATCTAGATCAGTGGTTCTCAAACTTTTTGGGCTCTGGAACCCTTTACATGCGTAAAAATGTATGCGGAGCCCCAGCGGTCCACTGATCGTATGTGTTGTACCTATCGATGTTTCCAGTTTGTCAACCTTGCGGAGCCCCTAGAGATGTCTCGCGGGGCCCTGGCTCCGTGGAGCACAGTTTGAGAAACACTGATCTAGACGGTGCTTGGTCCTATGAAGAGGGCAGGGGACTGGACTTGATGATCTCTCAAGGTCCCTTCTAGTTCTAGTGTTCTATGATTCTATAGGTGCTTGGTGGGAGAGAGGGGACGCAGGGAGAGGGCCACCCAGAGAAACAGAGGGCACCCCATTTAGCAGTTACAATTTTGGTGGGGGCACAGAGAGGCGGTGCACCTCCTGGAGAGGGTCACTGTGCTGTAAGGAAAGACAGCCAGCCTTTGTTACTGCTCAGTAGGCTGGCCCATGGGGAACCACCATCCATTCCTCCTTAGATGCTTATCTATCAGTCTGTCTAAAGTATTCACATGACCTCCAACACAGTACAAACCACAGTATGCAGTACAGACACAGTCTGCTATGTATCTATATTCACAACATCCCTGTGAGGAGAGGGACTGTCACCTCCATTGTACAGATGGGAAACTGAGGCACGGAGTGGGTCAGTGGTTTTCATGAAGTCACACAGGGAGTTCTTTGGAAGAGCAGGGACTTGAATAGAATTCTCCCAAGAATGGCCCCATACCACTACTGTATAGTCACTGCAACAGTAGGATTGCCCTCCCGCCCCGCCTGCCTTGTGAGGTGCTAGGGGCTAGGGTATTTGTGCTCTGTCTCCCCCTAGGGTTTATTCATAGTTATTGTTGTTTTATTTACATGTAGGAACCCCACCCTCACACTGCTCCCCAAAACCTTGTCCCTGCTCCTGAGTCAGATCCTCTCCTCACACTGCTCCCCTGGGACCCTGTCCCTGCCCCTGAAAAACCCCCTTCCCCTCACAATGCTCCTCCTGGGACCCAGTCCCTGAGAGACCTGCCTCCTCTCACACTGCTCCCGCCTGGGTCCTTGCCCTGCCCTGAGAGAGCCCCTTCCCTTCACAAAGCTCTCCCTAGAACTCTGTTCCTGCCCTTAAAAGACCCCCCTTCCCCTCATACTGCTCCCCCTGAGGGGGTGAGCCAATAATTCATTTTTCAGTTCAGGGTCTGAACTGAAAGATAAAAATAATCACTTCAGTTTGAATCAAAATGGATTTTTTTTTGCTTTTCTCACTGAAACGAAAAACAAAACCCACCCCTCTCCCGCCAAACTCAGCCCCTCCATCCGCCAAAACTCCAATTGGATCGAACAGCAGGTTTCATTTGATCCGAGATATTTCCCTCGCAGATTTATATTTCGTGATAGGGTGACACTTCTCACTGCTAGAAAACCTCCCAGCTGGGGAAGTGGCTTTGACATTTGGTGTGCCTCCTGGTGGAGGGGGTGGGGGCGATGGTACGGTTAGTGAGCAAAATTTGGGCTCGTTTTCCCAAGAGGTTACGTAGCGGATGCGAGTGCAGTGGTTCTCTCAAACAACAGGTCTGGACTCTGTTGTAACAGGGTTGCCAGAGTTGGCGTTAGTCTCGCTGGGGCCCAAGGCTGACGCTCAAGCCCACTGCCGGGTCTGAAGCCTATGGGTTTTGGCTCCCCTCCAACCCACATTCGAGGCAGCAGGACTTGGGTGTGTTCAGGCCTCAGTCCCTGGCCCTGGAGTCGCGTGGTAGTAATTTTGTTGTCAGAAGAGGGTTGTGGGGTAGTGACATTTGAGAGCCCTGTTACTAGTGTCCCTACTGGGGGGGTTGTACAGCGTGACCCACCCCGGTACAGGCCGAGCGGCATGGCTACACCTTGCACGAGCAGCCGGTGCCTTACAGCAGCTCAGCATGGGGCTGGCAAGTCTGGCAATGCCCCAGTCCCTTGCTGGAGGTGACCCAGGCTGGCTAGGATCTGTCTGGCCACCGGCGGCTGCCAGGGCGATCCTGCTGGGGTGAGCGCCTGCCGGCTCCTTGTGTAGGGTGTGTGCTGGAGGCCTGATTCTTTTCCCTATGCTGGCCAGCTGGGCTCCCACTGTCAGTTGCCAGGAGGAGTTTCCCTCCACTCCCCAAGGTCGCTGCCTGGCTTTGCTCCAGAGAGGGCTCGCCCAGAGTGCCTGGCATGGGGGGGAGAGGCTTGTGTCAAAGAGGGGCTGCTCTATGGGGCAGGGGTTGAGCCAGCGAGGGCAGAGTCTATACTGAGAACTGGGTCCTATGCCGGGAGCAGTGTGACTGTGGCGGGTCGCGGTCCCCCGAGAGAAGCAGTGTCTGTGTTTGGGGTGGGGGCAGGGCCTGGGCAGGGCAGGACTATGACAGGAGGGGGCACACGCAGGGGCAGGGGCGGGGTCCCAGGGGGAGCAGTGTGAGGGGCTGGGCGTGTCTCAGGGGCAGAGGCAGGGTCCCAGAGGCAGCAGTGTGAGGGGTAGGGGTGTCTCAGGGGCAGAGGCAGGGTCCCAGAGGCAGCAGTGTGAGGGGTAGGGGTGTCTCAGGGGCAGAGGCAGGGTCCCAGAGGCAGCAGTGTGAGGGGTAGGGGTGTCTCAGGGGCAGAGGCAGGGTCCCAGAGGCAGCAGTGTGAGGGGTAGGGGTGTCTCAGGGGCAGAGGCAGGGTCCCAGAGGCAGCAGTGTGAGGGGTAGGGGTGTCTCAGGGGCAGAGGCAGGGTCCCAGAGGGAGCAGTGTGAGGGGAGATGGGATCTCTCAGGGGCATGGTCTCAGGTGGAGCAGTGTGAAGGGAGGGGGCAGTGTGGGAAGGGGCAGGGTCCCAGGGGGAGCAGTGTGAGGGGATGGGGGTGTCTCAGGGGCAGGGTCCCAGGTGGAGCAGTGTGAGGGGTGGGGGGTGTCTCAGGGACAGGGCACAGTGTGAGGGGTGGGGGGGCTCTCGGAGCAGGGGCAGGGTCCCAGGGGGAGCAGTGTGAGGGGTGGGGGGTGTCTCAGGGGCAGGGGCAGGGTCCCAGGGGGAGCAGTGTGAGGGGCTGGGCGTGTCTCAGGGGCAGGGTCCCAGGGGGAGCAGTGTGAGGGGCTGGGCGTGTCTCAGGGGCAGGGTCCCAGGGGGAGCAGTGTGAGGGGCTGGGCGTGTCTCAGGGGCAGGGTCCCAGGGGGAGCAGTGTGAGGGGCTGGGCGTGTCTCAGGGGCAGGGTCCCAGGGGGAGCAGTGTGAGGGGCTGGGCGTGTCTCAGGGGCAGGGTCCCAGGGGGAGCAGTGTGAGGGGCTGGGCGTGTCTCAGGGGCAGGGTCCCAGGGGGAGCAGTGTGAGGGGCTGGGCGTGTCTCAGGGGCAGGGTCCCAGGGGGAGCAGTGTGAGGGGCTGGGCGTGTCTCAGGGGCAGGGTCCCAGGGGGAGCAGTGTGAGGGGCTGGGCGTGTCTCAGGGGCAGGGTCCCAGGGGGAGCAGTGTGAGGGGCTGGGCGTGTCTCAGGGGCAGGGTCCCAGGGGGAGCAGTGTGAGGGGTGGGGGGTGTCTCAGGGGCAGGGGCAGGGCCCCAGGGGGAGCAGTGTGAGGGGAGGGAGGGTTGCTCAGGAGTAGGGACAGAATCCAAGAGAGGAACAGTGTGAGGGGAGGGGATGTAGCAGGGACACGGTTTCAAGGGGAGCAGAGTGAGACGAAGGAGGTCTCTCGGAGCAGGGACAAAATCCATGGGAGCAATCTGAGAGGTGGGAGTCATATGGCTTGAGGGGGCTCTTACCTTGGGGAAATCCCCTTTGGCGAAGACCATGAGTAGGGAGGTCTTCCCGCAGCCCCCGTCCCCCACAATCACGGCTTTGATCTCAGTGGGGCCCATCTCCGCGCCCCCTGCCATCCGGCTCTGTGCCCTGTCTCCTCGCTGCATCCCCCAGCGCTCTGTTACTCCGCTGCTGACGTGTCACCTGCCAGCGGGCACCATCCCAGCACCTGAGACTGGACAGGGCAGGACCCTTCCCCCTCAGATCACACCTGTGGTGGCCCCCTCTACTCTCTGGGCCTCCTCCTCCCTCCACTGAGCTGTTCTGGGCTCAGACTGCAGGCAACACCAGCTTCCGCCCCACACCCAGCTCCAGCAGGAGGGTGCGGCTGGGAGCCAGAGGGGTTTGCACTCTGGCTGTGGCCTCTTGCGGGGTGGGGAGTTCAGGGACAGGTGTGGCCAGGAATGTGACTAAGGGGACAGGCTGGCATAGGAGCGAGAGTAAATAGTCACGCACACACACTCACTGTACTTGGATTCAGGCACGGCAGATTTCAATCTTTGGCTTTTTTAATCATTTTGACGGATTATATTGGTGTGGATAGTCTGCCATTTCTCCCCAATTTGTATCAATTTAAATGGTCTCAATTGTGCGAAATCATGTTGCCTGTGTGTCAGGTAATACGGGAGGAGGTCAAACTATAATTTAATGACAAGAGCTGCTGAGATTCAAAAATGTGAAGCTTTATTGCTAGCAAAGCAAAGATTATCAACCTCATGAGTCAGCATATGCCAACTCAAATCCATTCACAAGCAGCCTCCTTCTTAGTTTGTCTCGCTGTACATTTCACCAGTCGTTGATGGAGTTTTTTTCTCTGCTTTGCATGTGTAGGGTGAGATTGACGTTTACCAACATTTGCCAATAAAAATTGACAAGCCTTGTGTGTTACAAGGAGGAGAGAAAAAAATTATTCTCCTTAACCTCTGATGATAGGACAAGAAGCAATGGGCTTACATTACATCAAGGGAGGTTTAGGTTGGACATTAGGGGTGTGTCTAGACTACATAGCTCCGTCGACAGAGCCATGTAAATGAGTTTACAAGACATAGCAAAATAAAGCGGCGATTTAAATAATCGCCGCTTCATTTACATCAAAATGGCTGCAGCGCTGTGCCGTCGATCAGCTGATCCGGCACAGTGGGGCAGCCTAGACGCACTGCGGTCGACAAGGGAAGCCTTTGTCAAATGCGCCGCTATGCCTTCCCTTGTCGGCCGCGGCGCATCTAGACTGCCCCGCTGTGCCAGATCAGCTGATCGTTGGCACAGCGCGGCGGCCATTTCGATGTAAATGAAGTGGCAATTATTTAAATCGCCGCTTCATTTTGCTGTGTCTAGTAAACTCATCTACATGGCTCCATCAACGGAGCCATGTAGTCTAGACACACCCTAGGAGAAACTTGCTAACTGTCAGGGTGGTTAAGCATTGGGATAAATTACTTAGGCACGTGGTAGAATCTCCAACACTGGAGATATTTAAGAGCAGGTTAGAGAAACAACTATCAGGGATGATCTAGATGGTTCTTGGTCCTGCCGTGAGAGCAGGGACTAGACTTGATGACCTCTCAAGGTCCCTTCCAGTTCTAGTATTGTAGGATTCTATGATTGCAGCTGGGAAGTGTGATTCCCAATCCAGGCTGACCTGGTTAACCTGTGGAACTCATTGCCAGGGGATGTCGTGAAGACCAAAAATCTAGAAAAGAATTTAAAAAAGAATTAGATAAGTTCACGGTGGTCCAACAATGACGGTTACCAAAGTTGGTCAGGGACGCAAGGACACAACCTCATGCTCTGTGTGTCCTAAAGCCTCTGACTGCCACAAAGAGGGACTGGAGAACAACTAACACTCAATTATTACACTGTTTTGTTCATTCTCTTTGAAGCACCTGACTCTGAACACTGTTGGAAGACAGGATACTGGGCTAGAGGGACCACTGAGGTGGCCATTCTTATGTTCTTAGACTCATACTAGCTCAGCTCCAGCTAATGCCATAAAAGCAGCAATGTGGATGGAGTGGCATGGATGACAGCTTGGCCTATCTGATGGAACTGAATCCCAGATGATCTGATGGGCTTGGACTCCAGGGGCCCTAGCTGCTGGTCCTCCTACAATCTTCCCACTGTTATTTTTTCCACCCCAGCTCGAGCAGAGCTAGTGCGGGTCTGTGCACCCAGCCCGGGTAGCGCGCTCCTGCTGGCAGTGTAAACATACCTTGACGTATGCTCCCAGGCCACACACCCACGCACCATGTCATCCACCCCCAAAGTGACACAATCATGAGTCAGGCCCCACATAATCCACTTTGAAAGCTGGAGCCTGTCTCCAAGCCATGAGATGATTATTAGAGACAATCACAGCATGCTGAGAAAGGGCAGGAGCTCCCTCTGCACAGCTTCCAGCTTCTTCCTGAGCCTCCAAAGTATAAATAGTTTAATTCTGAGAAGCCCCCTGCCCCAGACAGACACCTGCCTCCCTCCACATCCACTTCCTTTGCAGCTCCCAACCTGGGTTCTTCACCTGCTTCTCTTAGACCTAATGCGGCAAGGGCACGGAGTGAATGGGGTCAGATCTCCAACTGATGTGAAGTAGCCTTAACCCCACTGGAGTCAGTGGGGCCAGACCCACGCAGGTGTGAACTGGCAAGATGAGACTGGCCATCCCAGAAGGCTGTGAGGCCCAGGGAAGGAGAAGGAATCCAGAAGGGGTATAACAAGTCATGAACACGAGGAGAGGGCTATATCATTTACCGGTGCATGAGGGGAGACTTGCAAAGCTGCTTCACGACTCGGAGATGGACAGAACCTCCCCAGAGGGCGGGGCTTTCTGCTGCCCTCTACTGGTGGCCACGGGGAAGTGACAGAATGAGCCAGACCTTATGGCTACGTCTAGACTGGCATGATTTTCCACAAATGCTTTTAACGGAAAAGTTTTTACGTTAAAAGCATTTGCGGAAAAGAGCGTCTAGCACTTTTTGTGGAAAAGCGATCGCCATTTTCGCCATCAGAGCTTTTTTGCGCAAAACAGTTTTTAGCTGTCTACACTGGCCCTCTTGTGCAAAAACATTTCCGGAAAAGGGCTTTTGCCTGAACGGGAATGTCAAAGCATTTGTGCAAGAAGCACTGATTTCGGACAGTAGAACGTCAGTGCTTTTGCACAAAATCTAGCGGCCAGTGTAGACAGCTGGCAAGTTTTTGCGCAAAAGCAATTGCTTTTGCGGAAAAACTTGCCAGTCTAGACACAGCCTATTTGTGTTTTTTTTACGTGCCCATTTGGAGCATTTTGGTAATAACTTAGCAAAACCTCGAGTTGAGCAGTAACGAGACATTATTATCCCTGCTGCATGAGAAAAGGGGCAAGAGAGCAGCATAAAATATACTCTGGGCAAGAGGTCATCCTAATTAAAAGCTCAGGCTGGTACAGCTGGGTCCAGGCAATACAGCGAGGTACTTGATATTTAGGTGACAAAGGCTGTATTTGAGGTCTTTTATGCCATTGATCTCTTTCCATAGAAGTGTTGCTGTAGGAGCTTTGTGACCTGGGATGGGTGGATATCGGCAGAGTGGAAGAGCAAATTGGAGAGACTACGGGGAGTAACCAAACTAACATACTGGATATGGGTTAAGTGACAGAACTGCAAGACTGGCCCATGCAGCCCTTTTCTTAGGGACTGGAGACACTTCTGCCTCGACTCTGGGTTGCAAATTGTGAGTGGGGATGGGGTGCTGGGTGCGGAAGGGCAAAATGAATGCTAAAGCGCGGAGGCAATGTTCCCTCTAATTTTTTCCATGCATGTGTAGAATACATTTTGTTATGCGCACCAAAGCATGTGTGGATGTGCACCACCAGTAGAAACACATGCTTCCAGATGTGGGCAGCTGTGGGTGCTCTGCTATTCATCTGAGTGGCACCTCAGTCTCTCCTGGGTGGAAACCCAAGTGCTCCACTTGGGGGGAATACCAGTGAGGAGCTGAGCTAAAGGACTTTGACCAAAGCTATCATTTGGGTGCTTCTCTTTGTATTCATACATATATGTAAAATAATTGATTTATTGTTGCTGTGCTTTCCAGAGTGGATTCAGTGTCCCCTTCCCCCTCATACAGTTCTCTTCGTTTCATATATGCTTGCTGCATAGGGCTGGCGTAGGGATGTCTGGTAAGATTACCTGGAGAAGTTTTTCTCCAGTTTTTTGAGTGGGGGCTCAAAGTATTTGTGAAGAGGAACCCTAGATAGTCAAACCTGTCCTTTTTAGGTGCCCATGATACCTGGCAGAAAACTTGGTCAACTCTCGGGACCCGTGCCTTAGCTGAGTGGTAGAGTTGTGCCCTCAGGGAAAGTGTGTGAGCTGGGTAGACTGGGCCATGCACAGAGTCAATGGTCAAGGTGGCACGAACTGTATTAAACCCTTATTAACCCTGGATGGAGTGCTGCCAGTATCTAGTGACTAGATTGCAGAGTGCTTAGTGCATGTGCTCCTGCCATGTTGCTCACATAGCTGGTCCTTTAACGTAAGTAGCAGAGATGCCAGCTTCTTTTTTTTTTTTAGATCCAGAGGTTGCGGGTTTGATCCCACCCCAGGCTAGAGGACTGTCACACCTGCATGTGCTCCATTATCTCATGACTTCCTTGCAGTCACTAGGGAGCAGCAGGAGTATCCAAAGTCCAGGGTGCAGGGAGGGCACCTGAGTCAGAGCTTCCAGCCTGGCTTATCAGCACTGGCGCTGGTTTGATAGGAGGGCTGGTCCCACGGAGTCTTGGTGATAAATGTCACCCAGACTTCAAATGCCCCCAGGGTCCTCCATGACCTAGTCTGTCTCTGGGGCTGGGCCCTGCCTGGCTCCCTGTCACAGTGACTGGCGTGGGCCCGCTGTGGCTCTAGACCCTGGAGTCCCTGCCAGGCAGTCTTACCCCCTTTCTTGGGGTCACATCACAGCTAGGGCTGCTACCCCTCTAGGACTGCTAGAGTCTCCAGGCATGAAAGATGGATCATTAAAGATAAAGTCACGTGATGACATCTCCAGGAACTCATCCAACCAAAACTGGCCACCCGAAAGAGCTGAGGGGTTGATGGAAGGTGCCATGGGCCTGAGGTGCACTCCCTCTGCCCCCCACTCTCAGGGCGTAGCCGGGCAAGAGAGCCCCTGAGGACCCTGACTTATTTCTCTGGGTAACTACTAGGCTGTGTCTAGACTGGCTACTTTTTCCGGAAAAGCAAATGCTTTTCCGGAAAAACTTGCCAGCTGTCTACACTGGCCGCTTGAATTTCCGCACAAGCACTGACGATCTCATGTAA